ATTTGATTCATGTCATTATAATTTTTGATGTTTGGAGAAACGCCATTACTATTCACATATTTTGAAGTATGTCATTACAATTCTTCGTTTCCCACAAAAATACTACTGAATACGTATGTACATAGCCTGGACCCAGCTGCAGGTGTATACGAAGACGTATACTTCATCACCGGTCACTGACACGTGGGCCCCACATGTCATCTTCTTCATACTCCTCTCCTCCTCTCTCCATCCCAAGCGTACGCGCCCCACGGCAAGCAAGAAGATTAGTGTAGGTGTAAAATTACGCACTTGCCCCTCCTCTATTATTCTACAAGTGGTTGTCTTCTGAAATGTTCTTCTTATAAATGGTAGTTTTTAGTAATGTAGGGATATTTTTAATTGATGGATTCCGTTGAAAAAGGTGATTTCTGACTCTAAAATTACATATTTTTTGAAACAAGATTTGAAGCGCTAGAATTATATGTTTTTTTGACGCCACCATCCTCGGCGCCATGACCGCGGAGGTGCAAAAGCGTCTTTGGCGGTAGCCTCATTTTATTAACTCACTCGAAGTCTTTTTTCGGTCGGCGCACGCCTTTTCGGTTTGAGCCTCGCGTGGGTCCATTGAGCGTGGGGCGGGATGTGCTGGCTCTTCTTGTTCTTGTCCCGGCAATGTCCCAAAGAGAGCAGAGAAGTGTCGTTGGATGTGGGAGATGAAGAGAGATATGAGAGATGCGGAGATCGTGACGAGGGTATTTTGTGGGAAACAAAAATTCTAATGATGACATGCTTTCAAAATAGGCTAATTAAATAGTATATATCTATTTTTTTAGATTCCATTAAAAGGTGATATTTACATGCTTTTTAAGCAAGATTTGAATGCTAGAATTACATGTTTTTTTTGAGACGGAGGGGGTAACAGCTAGCCTTTTTATTAACTCACTTCTTTTTTTTGGTTTTCCTTTGTCGCTTTGGTCCATTATTGTGTGGCCCTTCTTGTTGCTGTCCCAAAAGCCACAGAAAGTGGACTCCCAGAATCAATCGTGTCCCCCTAGTCACACTTGTCCTTTTGTGTCTCGGTGCCAAATCACGTGCTCACATGGGCATGCTATTTTGCATGTGTGCTAATTGCTGAACCGCTCCATATATTCTATGATGACAAAACAGATTCAGCGGTCGGGCACAGTCACTCACCCAGTCACCTCATGTTTTCAAAAAAAAAAACACTCGGTCAGTCGTAGAGCACCTGCTCAGCTGCTACTTGGTTTTATCTGAAAAGTTCTGAATGCATGGCCTTGTTAATCACCGGTGCTGCTGCTCGGCCTATACAGGGGCTACTCTTTCGTGGACCCATTAGCCCAGTACTTGCGTGGCTTGTAGTAATGGGCCTAACAAAGGGTCCCCTAAGCCCAAATAATTTCTCACCACAGCGACAAGCCAGCCCACAAAAAAAAAATCGACTGATGAGGAATACTGTAAACCCACATGAATGGAAATTTGTTTTTGTTTTTTTGTACTCAAGACGTGGGGAGAGGTGAAACCCTTTTTGCTGTGTGCCGTGCTCTATAATGAAGCTCACCGCCCGAGAATATACAGAGAGAAGAGAACAATATCAATACATGGTAATGAAATTTTGCTTAATTACCAATACATAAGAACTTGACCTCAAAGATACTCCGATTCAAATTTGCAGTACAAAGAGTACCAAAGACAATGTATCCAACGGATCCATGTCATAGTTTTTTTACAAGATGGATATGTCATACGCTCTGTTCGTTTGGCTTATAAACCGTACTTTTTCAGTCAACGAACAGTATTTTTCTCTCACAACAAATCAACCAACAGTACTTTCAGCCATGACTTATCAGCCAAACGAACAGGACAATAGTTGTTAAGTTACTTTGAAATATAAGACCAGTCTCAGTGGGGTTTCATCAGAGTTTCATGAGCATTAAATAGGTTGATGTGGCACCGTATTGATAAAGAGAGATGATAAAAGTTTCATAAAAGTAGCGAGAGTTTCATAAGGATAAAACTCTTCTGCACTATTTCCAAAATATGAATGCATTGATACCATAGCCACGAAATCTCCACACTCGCCTAAGAGCACCTCCGATGCTATATCGAACCGAATGGTTCGGAAAGGACGAGTACAAGTTTGGTTCGACGACAGCAATTTTGTGGAGTCCATCGGCTACTACAAAAATCTATTCCTATCCATCTCACGGCCACGTGGAAGACTTTGAACGTGTCGTTCCCCATCTCTGGCTCACGCATGTACGAGATAAGCTCGTTTTGATTGGTTGGTTTATGTAAGAGAAATCTTCTGCCGTTTATGTAAAAGAGAAATATAGTGTTGATGTGAAGATAAATTTGGCCAGCCAATCCCCAGCCCAGCGATGAGGCTGTTAGATTCTTTTATGGCCTCTGTTCAACGCGTCTATGGAGTTCGTTTTTGTGCTCTGACAACAACGGTTTGAACGCTCCAGTGTCATGGTTCGGTTCGAGAAGCCCATGGTTCGCTTTCGAACAACGCTGGAGCTGCTTTAAGGACGTGCCACGACACTTGTCATTGAGAGGAGACAATAATGAAACCTCAAGAACCAAATCAAATTTAGAGGTTAATTAGCCATAAGATAATTTTTTTAGAATTAATCGCAAAGAGGGTAGACATCTATTTGCTGTGACCATGCCGGTAAATCCCAATGGGTTCTTTGACCATTTTAGAATTTTGGATATTCGGTTTTCTCATCGTAGCAAAGCTCACATGTACAACCAAGCTATGTTGTATAGCACAACACACCAAGATTCAAAATATTAGAGTCCCGAAGGACATTATCTGAATTTTTTGTTCTTAGTGGTGAAAATAAAATCATTTGGAAAAAGAAAACAACCAACACGAACTGTACATAATCACTAAGTGAATATGGAGTCTCACGATATAGAGTCGTCAGCTAGGCTCAATCTACCATCAGTATGAATGCCATATGAGTTTGAAGCAATGACTGGCTAAGAAAATTTATCCATCAAATCTTTACCAAAGAAAGTTAGGTCATCTTAGCTGAACGATCGAATCCAAAATTTGAACGGATCCACGTTATCCAAAAATAACACATGAGAAGTGGAAGAAGACCAACATCAACCTCACACAGACGTTGTTGAGCCAACAAGTAGATGACAATGCCTAGCTCATTGGACGAAGGGATGGCGTTCTCGCCGGACATACGACCTACTCCCTCTGTCCTGTAATATAGTGCATTCTAGAAATTTTAAAATAAGTTAAGAGAGAACATAAAAGACGTATAAACCCTCATTTTATTTTCTAATCAGACGCTATTATCAACATAATTAATAGTGATTGGTTGATAAATAGAAAGTATTTAATGTAAAATTGGATTTTGTCTTATAGAATGCATTATATTTGAGGACAAATTTTAAATGCTAGAATGCACTGTATTATAGGACGGAGAGAGCATTTTTTCTATATTTGCGTATTTTGTGTTCAGATGATCTAGGGACATGAGGAGTAGGTAACTAATTTTTGGTAGAAGTTTGAACACGTTGTTGGTTCTATCTTTTGAACAGTTTAATAGGATTATACCCTTTCATTTGGTAGAGGTTCAACAATCTTTTGACAAATGGTTTTATTTTGTCTCTACCGAGGACACCTAGATCACTAATTTTCATGAATAAAATTGCTGGTGTTTGGATATCCGATGGGATAGGATTTCATTGGACGGTACCGTGGATCAGACCGATTTGTTTTCTCGCGCGCACCTGCACTCTGTGCCCCCCTCCCCGCCCATGCCTACTTTTCACGCGTCCACTCGGGGCCTGCGCCCGTGGGACTGCTGGCGTCCCTTTCCGCTTCCTACACACATCACATATACAACACCTGATCTCTTTTGAAATATCCAGATGCAACACTTACAACATACATTCGAAGACTGATGAAACACTTGAAACATGCGTCTGAAACACTTGAAAAAAAACACTTGAAAACCATTGCTAACATATGCAACATGTAGATAAAAGCACTTGTAACATATGTGTGAAACATATGCAGCATTAAGATAAACACACTTGCAACATGGGTCTGAAAGAATAGATAAAACATTGGGGACATACGATTGCAACATACGTGTACAAATATTGCAACATATGCAACATCCCGATCTACTTTAACAACATCCGTATAAAACAATTGCAACATATCTCAAATACAAATGAAACATTTGATTGTATAATTGTAACATGCATCGTATCTCGGTGCGGCCTCCTCCGCCGGCGCCGCAGCAGCCGTAGTCGTAGCAGGAGGCAAGGCCAGATGGCTTCCACGCCAGGGCCTGACGCTCCTGTTGGTATCGGCGGGGCAGACAGCGGCAGGAGCAGCAGGGCGGCGCGTGCGGAACCGGAGCAGGAGTAGCAGGTGGCGGGCACGCGAAGCACCGGGAGCAGCGTCGGGAGTGGCTGGCGGCGCGGCAAAGCTGGAGCCGAGGCTGCCATGGTGCGGAGGTCGAAAACCCCACGACGATCACGGTCGATGCGAACGAGAAAAGAGTTCCGATGAGAAGTGAAAAAGACATCCGAACTTTTTTTTTATTAAACAACCAATTAGAAGAGGCATCTTGATAGTTGTAGTTGGACGTACCGTCGCCGGCCCACGGTAACACGGACGTCCGACCCAGTATTTCCGTTTCACGAAATCCAGGCAAACCCACAAGCGCGACTGTTTTGCTTCCAGTCCGGCGGTCCCATATGGCATATGCATGCCGAGGCGGCTAGGCAGGTCCCCAGCGGGCAGCGGCCCAGCCGAGTAGTGAATAGTGATGCCAGCTAGCAGCCCCACCGGAAATTTCAAATTATTTTTCTCAGTCGCGATCGGCGAGTCGCATCGGCATGGCATCGGATCTCGTCCTCCGGTCTCCTCTGAGCCTCTGACTCCTCTGGCAGCCAGAGCCAGCCACCTCCCATCCCGATCTAGGAGCCGAGCTCGTCTGCCTCCCCCGAGGCGGCGCATGGATCCCGCCTCGTCGGTGGCCGCCGAGCTCTGGCGGCCGACGCCGCACCACCACCACCTCGCCTCTGCTGCCGGCCGTCCCCACCTCGAGGCCTCCTCCTCCGTCGTCACCGCCGCCGCCCGCTCCGGGTCCGGGGGCGGCTCCAGCAGTCGCAGGAGGCCGCGGCGCGACACCGCGGCGCCGGCCGGGAGGAGCCGTCCAAGCTCGTTTCCACGTCCGGCACCGCCGCCAGCAGCAGTGCCGCAGGCGGCTGGGACTCGGTACGGCTGCCTCCTCCAATCCTCCTCTCCTCCCGCGCCGCATTGCCTCGCTGTGTTATCTGTGTCGCGTTGGTGGGTTGGGGTGCTGGGTTTAGCTAGCCTGGTGGACTGCAACTGCAACGCCGGGAAATTGTGGCTTGGGCAGCTCGCCGCCGTGATCTACTCGACCGTGCCGTCGGATTTACTCTCGTTCCTGCTCGGCGTTCGTGGGGTGTGGGTGTGGTTAGTGTGCAGCAACGGTACTCAAATCAAGGCCCTCAGTGTGTCCAAATGAAAGCTAGTCAAAGAGATTCTACTGTTCTGATGATACTGAATTGCTGCCCTGCTGGCTCGTTGAGCTAGCTGGTGAGCTCAACCTCATGTGAAAGGGGGATGTTCGGGTTTGCTGGAAAACAACACGTTTGGACTCATATGTAGTTTTATTACAAGCTGTAGGCCGTATGTAGCTTCTAGTCAAACTAATGGGTCCAATATTGCTGTCATGGGTGTGGAAATTCTAGTGGGTGCTTTCAAATAAACTGAAACCACAGCCAAATAGGTAGTTGCAGCATCGTTGTTTTCTCTCATCACGTGAGCAACAGTGTGCATTGTGCTGGTATAAGAGCAGCAGCAGGGTTTTGGGAACACTGCTCCTCATATGACGCTGGTGCAGCAGCTTTTGATCTTTCCCACAACTTGCTCTAGCTGATATGCAAATTGTGACGCTTAATTGATCTCATCCTCTGTTTCTTACAGGCATTTACATTGCCTTTCTATCCTTGTAATGGGACAGGGATGAATTTCCTTCGCGTTTTTAAATACAGGAGTAAAATGATGGTTGTTTCAATTCGATGGATTCATGCGTATTTGTATATTCTTTTTCTTAGGCTGACCCAGAAGCAAAACGGTTGAAGCAGATGGCACCTAGTCAAAATAATGACAGAAGAACGACAGAAGCTGGAACAAATTCAGGGAACGCTAGCAAGTCTGTGGTTAAGAAGCCTGCACCTAAAGAGCCACCAAAAGACTACATTCATGTGAGGGCTAGAAGAGGTCAAGCAACGGACAGCCATAGCCTCGCAGAAAGAGTAAGCTTATACCGTTCTCATGGACTTTTCACCCAGTACTTTTGGATGCTTTCTTAATAGTTTAATATAATCTCACAAGAACTATGATAGTAGCCACTAAGTATTACAGAGATGAGAATGCACAACTGTTGTTATATCCTATAATAGAATTGCAGTTGTTCAAATTAATGATACGATCGACTCAATATGTCTACTGATAGGCACGACGAGAGAAGATAAGTGAACGGATGAAAGTTCTTCAAGATATTGTCCCTGGATGCAATAAGGTACATGTTGAACCCCATGGATTCAAAGTTCTGTGTTGTCATGCTTTTAGTTCTCAATTACCATGTGAGCATGTGGCTGAATTCTCCGGGTCCTTATTTTCAGTGAAAGCTTCTGTTGTAAACATTATGTTTTCCTTTTGAAAGGTTATCGGGAAAGCATCAGTCCTTGATGAGATAATAAATTACATCCAGTCTTTACAGCGTCAAGTGGAGGTATGTGGTCTTGGGTCTCATGTGAAATTGTCTTCTTGTATATATTCAAATTAATTACTGACCTGTTCTATGCAGTTTTTGTCCATGAAACTTGAAGCCATTAATGCTCATATGAACAATGCGACTGTAGCTTTTCCAACAAAAGATGTAAGTTTATTCATCAACTGTTAAATCTGAGTTTCCAGGATTCTTAATAAAAAAGTTCAGCTTAGAGTGAATCATTGCACATCTTGTTTTCTGCACACATACACAGGGTACCGGCTTTGGTGTTGTAACTATTCTGTATAGCTTTTTATTGTCGTCCTTTTGAAAAAAATAGGGTACTGGCTTAAGTATTTTAATTTTTCTAAATGACCTAATCTCGTTACCCCCGTTAGCATTTTTATGTGTCACAACTGACAACCATGCTAGCCCTCTGTACTCTATTTTAATTTTTCTAAATGACCTAATCACGTTACCCCGTTAGCATTTTTATGTGTCACAACTGACAACCATGCTAACCCTCTGTACTCTCTCCGTGTCCTTAAAGAAAGTCGTTTTAGACATTGACACAGTCTCCAAAAGCAACTTTGACCGCTATTTTTTGCTATAAAATATTTACAAAATATAGTCAATATATACTTTTATAAAACTACATTTCGAGATGAATCTACTTACGTCACTTTCATATTTTCAAACTCAACCCAAAAAAAATTATTTGTAGTTAAAGTTTAAAATGTTTGACTTAAGACAACCTTAAAATGACTTCCTTTAATAACATGAAGTACTAGTCTACTCCCTCAGTCCCTTGTCCAGATTCATAGCTAAAGGGTCATCTATTTTAGGACAGAGGGAGTATATTATTGGCAAACTTTGTTGTACTAAAAAAATTATTTCTGAACTCTGAAGCTTTGGACTCTATATTGTTTGAAGTCATTTGATGCTCCATCTGAACCATTAAAAGTGTGCCAGTCAAGACTCATGGCACATTCCTAAACGCATATGCAAAATTCTTACTCAAAACAAAAGTAACAATATTGTACTTTTGCAAACCAGATCATAGAGCTTAGCTACCATCCCATGAGTTATTTTCCAGCTTTGTTCATGCTACATAGTAATATGGTCATACTAGTACTAAATTATGTGACAAGCTGCTGCTCAAGTTCCAGTTTAGGTCACTGTTGTTGTTGCTCAAAATTGTAGATTATAGGACCAGTACATTGTTGAATGCCATGCTTGTGTCTTTTTTTTTTTGGAGTCTTATGACGGTGCGTATTCTGTTAAATGTGCCTACAAACTTTGACAAAAGTTCAAAAGGGTTCACCAGTGCCTGCTTTCTTGCAGTTTGGTGCTCCCCCATATAATACTGCTCCTAGTCTGACGTTGGATCCACAAACACCAAGGGAATACGCCCAGGGCTCGATGTCAGATTGGCTTCACATGCAGATCGGCAATGCATATGAAAGAGTGACATGAATAAAACCAGGAAGCCTGTAACAAACTGAATTCCTTGTGGTAGCCAATAAGGAGTACCAGGATCAATCAAGTCCACAGTACCAGGTCCATTTTTCTTTTCTCGTGGTTATCGTGTCGCCAAAGTTCTTTTATTCCTAATTTGGGGGCATAGTGCTGTAGATGCATCATTCCACACATTCGTCTAGGAGGAAGCACTGTCTTTCATTGTACTCCCTCCGTTCCAAATTATAAGACGTTTTGGCTTTTCTAGATACATTGCTTTTAGTATGTATTTAGACATAGTGTATATCTATGTGCATAGCAAAAGCTACGTATCTAGAAAAGTCAAAACGTCTTATAATTTCGGACGGATTGAGTATATGGATTTCATGATGCGCTAGTGTGATGTATCCCGGGAAAATTTTGTAGCTCAGTTCATACAAGAAAAGATGGCAATACGCCAATACTGTATCTCTCTGATGTTGTGCAGTCTAAGAACTTGACAGGTGTACGGGATTGCCCCGGGGCTGCTGGTTATGCTGCTGCTTGGTTTGGGGCTTTGGGCAAACCGATCTCTCGCTTGTGAGGACACTAGGTAGGTTTGCACACGAGAGTACTCTCTTGCCTGTGGTTGCTTGTAGTGGTGGCACCTACTATGTCAAAAGGAAGATTGGAAGCCTAGTGGTTTTTTGGTCAAGTTTCTACTGAACTAGTGGGACGAAGGAATTCAGGACATTTTTGTTCGATGTTCAACGATGCGATGGCATCTGATTCCCATCCATGAACTGAAAGCCACAATCGCAAGACCATTTTCTTCACGCTGCGTCATCTGATCTCATTTCCTGACTGGCCAGAAATGCACATCTGCGCCAAGACGTTTTCGCGGTGGCTGCAGCTGCCTAGAAATGCAGCCTACCCCTCGTTGAGTCATTGCTCACATTCAAGATTCATAACCAAAGGTCAAGTTGGTGGTTACTTAGTCAAATTAAAGGACATATCAAGTTTGTCTCTTCTTTACTAAGTTTTATCATTAGCATGAGTTCCTGCTCACATTCAACTTCTATTGATTCTAAGCCAACTAAGCATGATTACCACGTCCCATGAAATTGTTGACTAGGGCTATTGACTTGAGGTGAAAGTTGGTCTAGCATTAGTGAAACAAATTAAGTTGGTTAACATCCCTAGCATAATATGCAATTACATAATATATATGAAAACATATGAGTATCCAAAGTAGGTGTTCTTTAAGTAATGGTGCCTGCCTATCATGAGGCAGGCCGGGTGGCTTGGGTCCATCATGACTAGATGTATGTGTGCCTCGCAATACATATGAACCTGTGTGAGAGAGAGAGAACAGAGATCAATTGAGGTGGACATGAGTGAGTTGATAATACTAGATGAACTAGGTGATAAGGCTTGAAAGGGGTTCAGGAGATCATAAAAAGGATGTATGAAATGGTTTTGGGTTACAACTTGGTTGTTGGTTAGGTTAGGGTGCTTTTCTAAACCTTTTAGGTCAAGTGAATACTAAGTGTAACTGGACTGTGTTTTCACGAATAACCCATCATGGTGTGGCGGATGGTCCGTCAAGGCAGGTGTCGAAGGAAAAGCTTATGCAAATTCTTTGTATAGATCGATGAACAGTCCGTCAGATATTGGTGGACAGTCAACCAAACCAGGTTGGCTATGCCTAAGTGTAGACAGTCCATCATAGCCCTAACATGCAGTCGGGATGTTCTGTTATTTTGACAAGCAGTCCATGTTCACGTACAGTCCATGAAGTGTTGACAGAGCCTACGTTGAATTGTGTTCTTTAGTGCTAAGGTGCTAGGATCTATGGTAGATGCTCTAGGGTTGTATTGGTACTTCGTGGGGTGTTTGTGCAGGGTAAACTAGCGTTTGACCAACATCCATACATCTAAGGGTGGTTGTCCTTGCTCTAGGTTGGATCTAGGGACAAAATTTGAGGGAAAAGAGATGTTGAACTTACCCATTAGGGCCTTGATTTAAATATCACCAAGATCAAGCTCATCTTCTTGGCTTCCTTGCACTATGAGGGTGGTTCCTTCGAGATTGGGGAGAGAGGGAAGGATTAGAGATTTGGGATGAACACAAGGGGTTGATTTGAGAGAAACCATGAGATTACACTTGAAATTGGCCCAAGGATCTTGAACTTCATCATCATCTTCTTCTTCTCCCAAGCATGGGATCTTCTCCACTTTCCCTTCGTCCATTCCTTGTTCTTGCTCTCATGATTGTTCTTCTTCCTTGTTCATGGCTAGAGAGAGAGAGGAGGAGAACGGTGAGGGGTGGGAAACTGGTTGGTGCATATTGCAGAGTCACCGGTTTCCTGACAGACAGTCCACCTAGACATGATGGATAGTCCATGGGGTCCTCGTGGACTTTGACAGGCTAACTAGTCAACATTGTTGACTACTGATTGATAAACAACCTGCCAAAACACTTAAGGTATTGATTTGTTGCCCAGATCCTTAGAGGAAGTGTAACATGTTTCACTGCCCATGACGACCACTAAGTCCTTGGGTGGGTTTCTCACTTGATTCCTCGGTCTTGTGTTTATCATAGGTCTTGCTTTGCTTTGATTTGGGTAACAACTATTGGAGTAGCTCTTGTCTTTGATATCTTTGGAGCAGAGGGTGGTCGGTTACATAGAAACAGTTAGGGGTTTTGTAGTTGGAGATTAATAATCATGCCAAAGAGATTGAGCATGACACTAGTGTAACTTGTTTAGGCAAAGAGGTGGGTCGATAAGGATTTGTTCTTGGAGACGGCTAGCGAGCATAAATGTCCATGTCTTTTGGTGAAGAAAGTTCTAGGATGCATTTGGGCTCAAGGCTTAAGGTAACAGGGTGATGGCTCAACTTGGATAAGAGGATTTTTTGCAAAGTTTTATTTGGGGTGGGTTTTTGGGCCGTGACACCGTTCCTTTACATTGAGCATTTGTGCGGTAAACATAGAAAACACTTGTTAGTCACATGGATGAAGTTCAAATTCAATGAGAATTTTAGATTAGCCTAATTCATCACTCCTCTTGGGCATCTTTGATCCTTTCGTCTAGATTTCATCTTTAGCTTTCTAGCACGTATTGTGAGGATTACCATAGACTCTATTAAGGGTCGGGCCTCCAATTATTAATAGTGATCTTGTTACTCTTGTATCTTGGAGAAGCTTATAGTACAGTTCTAAAATATTAGTGCAATAATTCTTTTCTGAAAAATTAGTACATTCACACCGCATTGACTAACGAAACATAACATGCATGCATATACAATTCGCGCAATCAACTTAACAATGATAACGATGGATAGTGGTACAACTAAGCAAGCAAGCAACGATAGCTAGTTGAGCTTGATCGTGCAGGTTTCATAACTGGCATGAGAACATGAGCATCTGCAGGCTATTGACTTCACTTGCTTAAGCACCTCCACTACTTCTACCATTGTTGGTCTCTCCTCCACATCTTCCTTGAGGCATCTTACCGCAAGCTCACCAACCCTATCAAGGCACTCCATGTTGACATAGGATTGACCGTCGTCGCCGTCTTCACATAGGATGTCTCTATCATACATGGCTCTTCTTTTTCCTTGGTCCTTGCAGGACATGACGAAGTCTATGGGGAGGCTCCTGCACCCGTCGTACTTGGCCGTCTTTCGAGTGATGAGCTCTAACAGCACCACCCCAAAGCTATAAACATCACTCTTCTCTGTGAATCGGCCTGTCTTGATGTACACTGGGTCTATGTAGTTCATGTCCCCAGCCACTGACCAGTTGGCATGCATGGCGATTGAGACGAGCTTGGATGACCCAAAGTCAGAGACCTTGGGTGTGAGGTTCTCGTCCAGGAGAATGTTGCCAGACTTGACATCCCCATGGACATGGTTGTGGCTGCCATGCGAGTGCATGTAGGCGAGAGCTTGCGCAGAGCCTAGGGCAATGTCTAGGCGTATCGGTAGCAGTAGCATGTGAGTCTTGCCGGCGCCATGGAGGACATTGTAGAGGCTTTCGTTGGGAACAAACTCGAAGACGAGCATGGGGATATTCGTCTCTAGGCAGCACCCGACAAGGCGCACCAAGTTGGCATGGCTGATCCGGAACTGGATGGTGATCTCATTCACAAAGTCCTCTTGACGGAGTGCCTCGCCTTTCACACGGGAGCGCTTAACTGCGACTCGTTGGGTGGCGTCAATTATCCCCATGAAGACCTTGCCGAAGGCACCTTCTCCAATCGGTGTGCTGTAGCGGTTTGTGATCTTCTTTAGCTGTCTCTCCGTGAAGATGTTAATGCCCATGCTCTTTAGTATTTCACCACCATTTTTATCAAAAAACTTCTTTTGCTTTCGCCTCTTAATCTCCATAACCACAAGGCATGCTAGAACGGAGGCAACAAATGTTCCTGCAAACATAAAAGTAGAAAATCCATGCTCGATGAGTTTTCTTCCATACAACTATGATGTCATCTATGCCTGTATGGAGAAAATGTGCAAAGCGTAACAACCTTAGATTCCCAAAACAATGTATGACAACTGTAAGATATAGACAACCATAGGAGAGGTGACATGTTTAAAGCCTTGCTAATTGTGAAAATAAACAAGTGAGGTGACAGATGACCTTCATTTTCAAAGGAATTTCAACTCTATATACTAATGGAGAATGGACGTGTAAGTGGTGATTAATATTGTGAGTATGTAGTTTCTCCAATGAATGAAAAGATCATATTTGAAAGCTGGGGCAGAAAGGTGATTTTCAACTTATTTGCTTCATTTGCATGTTGTCTTACCAAATATATACATATGGGAAATTTGTCCAGTGAACACATAGTTTTTGGGAATTTGGCTGTTGGTCATTGCTATATATTTTTTTGAAAATATTATATGATTGTCGATATAAAAATAGTGTCCCACACCCAAGAAAAATTATGACAATGTACTACAAACAAGAGGCTTTTATTAGTGTGCTGTCCTCCACATCTTCTGGTTTCTCTGCTCTCCTTTCAATGTATCATCTAGCCCTTTTAAGATGGTTGAATGAAATTCTGTTTAGAGTAAATACATTGTGAGTCCTTAAAATTTTCCTGCATTCTTATGTGGCTTCATGGACTATTGAAGTAATCAAATGGGTCATTCAACTTTTTAGTCGATTTATTTTAAATTCACCCTAGGTCCAATTATGGACTTCAATTCATACTTCGAATGAACCACTTGAAAAGTCAAAGGACCCATATGACTTTAAGAGTTATGGAAAAATATGAGAATACAAGTGTTCAAATATAAAGTGAATTGCTTGTCTTCCCCATCAACTTAAGCTTTTTGGTTGAGCTAGTTGGTGCATGCAACTTGGTATCAGAGCCAGAGGTCTTAAGTTCAAATCTTAGCTAGCGCAATTGAAAATAATTTTTGCTCTATGCTATTCTGCATTTGAGGCTAAGGGAGCCTCCACATCAGGGAGAGTGTTGAAATACAAAGTGAATTGCCCGCCTTAAGAAGTGAACTACAGAAAATCTTGTTTGTATTCATTGTTGAATTTGTTTCGTGTGTGGTGTTTAACATCATATTCTGGAATGCATGTTCCTTGTTTGATCATTTGAGAATTGTATATCTGTTAGTTTGAGCAAAGTGAATATCTTGGTTGATAATTTAATCGAAGTGAATAATGTTAATTGGCAAATTGTATGTAGTGAATGTGATTCTTACCGGTGAATATGCACCAAATGATCTGTCAAATAGTTGAATCAGACGCTTAACCCACTGGACTTCATAAAACTTTGTAGAAGTTTGAGGGCCAATTAGATGGTTTTAAATCAAAGGTGTTAAAGAGACCAGTCTCTACACTATTTGTTTATATCATCAAGGGTATCTTATAATAGAATGTCTTCTAATGGCTCACCTTTTAATTTGATCTTATTAAAGAATGGCATTCATCATTGGATTATTTCTCAAATATGATCTTCCTAAACCTTTGTACTCATCCAAGAAAGGCCACACACAACCTCATATAATAAAATGAAAAATATCTTGATGCTTCTTCTATTATGCATTGGAAAAAGGTGAGGATTTTATATATGGTTTCTGTAAATTATCATGTATAAAAAATTGTGTAACCATAAGATAAAGTAATGCAAAATAAAGAAACAAACATTAAATTAACATCCATTTCTGATATTCCTTCAACAAAACTATTTCCAATTACTTTAGGAATTAAACTCAAATACCAATTGAGAAGAACATGAGAGGTGATATATAGTTTGTTGAATTAATTACTCACCTACTATCGCAATTGCATATTCTGGGATTATGAGCTGACATCCTTTGTTAGTTTTACCATCACCTTTGAGACCGAATTTGCATTTGCACATGTAATCACCCTGTGTGTCATAGCACGTACTACCACTGTGACAAGGATATAATTTTTCATATCTTGCAGGATTTGATTTTGAAGCTCACACTCATTAATATCTGCATGACAGGTGCAGAAATTGAAACTGATAGTTTGAGAAAAGATCCATGAAAATAATGTCTAGAGCCATTCCTTTGCAAGTTAATTATGCCAATTATCAAGGACCATGTGACATATGAAATGAATTCCATTGAGAAAATAAGGCATATCTTTTTTTTTCCTCCTCTATGTTATCTTTAGGATTTGAGTTCTAGGATGATGCTTCTACGGGTATTTGATTTAGAGATATATGGGTTGATGTATTGGAGTATGGCCTATCATTGTGCAAGACGAAATAATGGATCCTCACAGCAAATTCAATCAAACATGCATGCCCTCTTATGGCTACTAGTTCTAATGACCACATATATATTCACACTAATCTTTCCTATCCTTCCAACTAAACACAGCTGTGATATAGAAAGACACTAGCATATATGCAAAAGGAGTAGATTCAACAGAAAGATTAAATAACTAACTTGTGCATCCACCAACGAAGTAGGGGTTGCCCTTGTATCCCTTGGAGCACCTGCATAGATACCCAGAACCCTGTGTGGCGTTTACACAGTGGCTGTTGGCGCTCACGCAGGCTAGAGCTACTGGTTTTGCTGACTCTCCGCCATTATCATCCTCCAGTTGGATATGGCAGGATCCATTACTCCTGATGGCCCAGTCAAGCACCAAAGGTATGCTTCTGTCTCCAATACGGTCAGTAAAGTTCTTGTTCCCAACACGAGTGAGGTCTCTACGTCTGAAGTGGTACCTAAAACACGTACCATCCATACAAGTCATAAGAAAAACATTTGTTTTTTGCTTGTGCTTTGTATGGTAAAATCTTTGAAAAAAACGTATGGCAAAAGATTCTTCAGGTCCGTCAGTTTTAATTATTATGACCTCAATTTTTTTTTGACGTACTAGCAGTTAATAATTTAATAGTACTACTAGAATGGTCATTGTTTATAAGAGAAGTATAATAACATTTGTAAGCTGGCTAAATGCTGAGGTGGAGAGATGAGAGAGAGAGAGATGATAAGCGGCTTAGCCACAAGAATCAAGAAACTTTGTGACAAAGATAAGTGGACCATGTATTAATAATTAAGAGCTAACTATTATATGGGTGGACTGAGAGAGGACTGCAAAGAACTTTACTGCCAACAACCTGTATTATTAGTCTTGCTCTAAGGCATATGCCACGCACCTGAGGCGCTTTCTTTGATTGCACGTCAATCCAAAAACAGTTAATTTATTTTATTTATCATAATTCATCCCAATACACGTGGATTAGTGTGGATTAAAATGCATCCAAACAGGCCTCGAAAGAAATGTTATATATACCAGCTTTTCTCGGCGACGAAGGCGTAGCTGCAGGGGCTGTATCTCCACGCAGGATTTGTCTCTTTGCGGCTGTGCCTCAAGAAGACATCTACCCTACTGATGTTGGCGGGGATGGACGTCTGGCAGCAGCCAAGCCCCGTGCACTCGTCGCCGTCCTGCGCCGCGGCATGCAAGCTCTGGCACGAGGTGATGCAGCCGGTGTGGTAGCCGTAGCTCCCTTCATCCCCGCCACTCACATATGCCAGCGTGTGGCAGCCGATGGCCGTGAAGGCGTTGCGCTTCTGCGAGACTAGAAACGGCGCTCCGAAGGTGAATGTCCAGCCGATGATCCCGTTGGCTATGGCGGTGGTGGACGAGTTGTAGCAGATGTACGACACGGAGCCGACGACGCGCATCTCGCCGGCGTCCAGAGCGATGCTCATGACCTCGAAGTCACCGAGGTATGGTCTCGGAGGGCTAAAGCTACGATTGCAGATGAGGGTGAACTCATCTAAGCCCGACCAGGCGCAGTTGCCGCCGATGCCGAAAGGGTAGGGGATGTGCACGTCGCCGCACATGCTAGGGCAGTCCGCAGGTCGTGGAGCTGGCATCGGTTGTGCGGCGGCATCATCAGCGGCCACCACCGGGAGGTGAAACGGCACTGGTTGGGAAAATGCTAGGGCAAGGGTAGTGAGGAACCAGAAGGGCACTTGTGCTATGACTACCAGGTGCTTCATGCTCGTTTTGTTTGGAGATCGAGAATAAGCAGACCTGGATTATTATTTGATGCCTAATTCTACGCGGCCGCATGGGTTTATATAGGTGCTCCATGCTCCACTGTGACCCGCTCTGGTCCACAAATAGAGTCGAGATATTTTTTCGCGATGACTGATCTGTTGCTATTGAACTAGCAGTACTTTCAACTGGTCCACAAATACTGTCTTTTACAAATTTAAAAAATTCAGGTTCTATTTATCCAAGCTACGTACGTATAGAATTAATGCTATCGTTGTTTTTGTCGCCAGCCATAAATTATGGGGCGGCGGCGCGGCGGCGGTATGACAAAGAATTAATTAGATGGTAGCACAAACACTACTACACAAATCATTGATTTGTAGGATCGCCTACGTAGGGGCGGCTGGAGAAACCGCCCCTACAAATGGTTTGGAGCTACCCCTATAGAGCTTTTGTGTAGTAGTGAAATACGGTGTTTATACATGTTCGAGCAGATAATACCCTACGTTTTATGTTCGTGGATTGTATTGCTTGTGGATAATATGCAACAAGTTGATGATATATTGCGAACATATGGTTGATATGTGCCCATGTGCGTCGAGTTGTGATGAGCGATTGCCAGGAGATGATAAGGCTTCGATTGAGTTTGAGACTAACCTTAGCGTGAGTGTATGTGCAACATGTCTCTTGGTTGTGTTGGTGTGCAGGTGTGGAGCACAGAGATGGTCGACGACCATAGAGAAGATCAAGTAGAGACGTGACGTACGTGAGGCTTGGACTACGGGAACAAGGTGTCCGGAAGACTGGTCGTTGGTGGCTGACACTTGGGGACATCGACAAGCAAGTGCACATGTGGAGTAGACCGTGTTGACCAAGTCAAGATGTCGGTCGATCAAGTCAAGCAGGGAGTGCAAGAGGACTTGTGATCGGGTGGTCGAGGATGATAGTGACACTTGCCGAGATCGTGTAGGAGGTGTAGCGGATATGCTTCTCCAGTGAGTTTGGTGGTTTGGGCCTCAAAACCACTAGCGGACGAGTTTTCTGGTTTGAGCCTCAAAACCCGGTTGGAGTTCCGACGGGAACGGAAGGCGGCATGTGACATTATCACGAAGCTTGCATCGAGACGAAGCAAAGTTGTGAAGAGCTCATGGCCGTTAGATGCACCAATCTCAAGATGGACCATTTTGCCCCTGGATTAAGTGGTTTAGCCTAAATGTCTAAGGGTATGTTGGGAAATGTAATAGGCCTATATAAATAAGATAGGAGGCTGCCCCAACCAACCATCTCTTCAGTTGTTAGGTTTCCTAGTCTCTAGTTTTCCCGTCTAAGTTTTCCAAGTCTGCTGTTGAGATACGCAGTGTAGAGAGTGATTACTCTGCTTTATAATTTGTCTTGTGTAAGAACCAGATCTTATTTGTGCTTGAAATAAAGCAAGTTATCCTTTGAAATTGTGGCTCAAGATCGGAGTTCTTGTTGAGTTCTCATTGAGTTTTGGTTTTTCCTCTCCTGAACCCCCCTTCTCTTGCATTTTAGGTGATTTTTTTTAGATTTGAGATTGATTGGGGTGGCTAAACATGCAATGACCTTAGAGGAACATGTCTACAAACTCGTTTAATCAGTTCGGGAGAATCTCGATCTATGGGGTTCCCTTATCTTTTGGAGTTGATATTTGGGGACAGATTCTAAACATCCTTGGGAACATCTCTGCAAATAAAGTTGAGCCCAATCGGACTTCATTTGAATAGATTTCACCTTTTTGGAGTTTAGTTCTGGGCTGCTGGCCAGGCAAAAGTACGCTAGGCCGACTTTCAACCCGGGTAGGCCAACCCTAACTCGGCCAGGCCAACCCCAAAGTTGATTAGGCCGACCCCAAATTAGGCTAGGCTGACTTTGCCATTTGGGGGTAGCCAACCCGGCCAGGCTGACCCTGGCACCCAGCTAGACCGACTTTCCTTTGAAGTTTGCTTCTCTAAGGTGTTTTTGAGCTATGGGTGTTCGTTTTCCGATCCACTTCTTCTGTGAGTTCTCTGAGGTGCTCAGGAAGTTTGTCAAGTAATTGAACCACTAGTTAGTTTAGGTGATTTTGCATTGGGATCTTGCTTCATTTTGATTGAAGTGGAGAACTCGATTTTTGTTTCAGAGAGGTTTGGTCGTGCTCTTGCACTGGTGAGTACGTGTCACGTTGTGTTCTTTGGACATCCCGGAGGACATGCAGAGGGCATCTCACTTGTGAGATTTGGTGTTTTGGAGGGTTGTTTGGGACAACAGTCACTTTGGAAAAATTTTGATTAATCACATTCACCTCCCTGGTTGTCTCTCTCGGTCCTTCATATATGTTAAGAATTTCAACCTGTGGCTCCCTATCTGCCTTATATAGCCGGAGAGTATAAGATTACAAGGTTGGTGCTGCCCTAATCGCATTATGGATTGCTTTCCTAATTAGAGACATCTGAATCTCGTGTGTCTGTAGGATATGGTTTCTAACTATATATCTTATGTACCTACGGTTACGTTGGCGTTGGCGAGGATGAGGACAAAATGAGAAGAGATGCTAGATGTTACCAAGGTGAGCAGTGAGAGCCATGCATCCATGGAGAGGCTCTCCGATCTTGGCAGCTCCATGTAATGTCATTGGCGTGCTGGCTGCACCTGCACAATCCTCTATGGTTGAAATACGTAGCAGTGGTTCGGGATGACAATAGAGGCTTAGAGAGACCCTTGAAAAGCCAATCTAAATCAGTATCGTTAGTTACCATTATTGCCCTAGCAAGAAGAGTGGACAAAGCTGTCAACAACATGACTGGCTGGTATGTGCATGTCATGTTCGTTTGTCTTATAATCCATACTTTTTAGCTTGTCTTTTCAGTCGGAACAGTGTTTTCTCTCTCACAACAAATCAGCCAGAACAGTGTTTCAGCTTGTTTTTTCAACGAAGCGAACGGAGCAACAAATCAGCTGGAACAGTGTTTCAGCTTGTCAAGTTATGAGGACGAATTGAGGGCTTAGCTCTTCACTATGGATTAGCAAAATAAAAGAGTGTCTCCCACTTATATCCAATGCTTTGGTGGCCAGGAAGCCCCTTTAACATTCCAACACGCAGCTCGTGATTTCAAGACCAACAAAAGTTCCTAGTGCCTTTTAAGACCTAGTGATAATAATTCTACAGCCGGTAATAAAGGATTTGCTAAAATTTAGGTGTCTGAATTTTAGTTTCCTTTCGGGCAACGGTTATTGCATATATTTTATATTAAAATTGCATATTTCTTTTATTGCAATTTGTGTAAACGCAATCTGCAATTTTTGAAACCGAGAATAAAAAACCCGTTACACAAAACCACAAACCCAACAAAATCGGATTTGCATTGGCACAAAGACAAGATAATTTACAATTATTTTCTATAAGAAGACAAGGACAAAATTTAATAAGTTATGACACAAAGACAAATAACAAATCACAAAAGTGATAATTTGCTTGTACTAGTTAGAGGTACAAGAGTGTTGCCTGAAATTATTTTAAAATTTAGGCACATGAAATATAGGAGAAGTGCGTTAATAAACAAGAAATAAATTAGATGCTTAGTAATGAAACAGTAATAGAGGTAACATCAGTTTAGGTATGAATGACTAAATCTCAGGAAATCAAAAATTGTAAAAAGAATCAATTCAACATACAGATTTGAGATAAATTTTCTTTGGAACTGTGGTCATCAGGATTTGGACCATATATAGTGGGCGTGTACAGCACTACTCCACCACCACACCAAATTAAAGACTACGACAGTCACAACATGGAGTGGAAAAATAAATTATATTATCTTAGGATAATTGTGCACAGCACATCAAAATTAGGAAGTGCGTGATCGCTTTTGAAACCAATAAGCAGCGAAAGATGTGACTTTTTAAATGTGTGAATCCTGACTTTTTTCCTACATATCGCATAAAAATTACTACAATTGCAGCACGCATGGGTTCCTGCACAAGCACATTGTAAAGTTCAAGCTGTGAAGTAACTGTCAGTCAGGAGGCGATCATAATTGGTTGGATGCAAGAGATTGGCGACCCCTACCACAGCTGGAGTACTTCACTAAGTGGATAGATAGCAGCAAATAGTACCGTGTATGGCAAGCACGCAGAGCATCTCTCAAACACAATTCAAAGATAGCAGCAAATAATATACCCAAATCTACTTTTCTTCTAAATTACACAGTATACTATAAAGGAACAAAATAAAAGGCAGCAACAAATAACCTAAACAGGCACTAAGAATTTAAAGAGAGTGTCAATCACGGTTAACAGGAAGAGAGAAAGGCGGTAGTAGAAGCCACCACAAGAAATATAATATAAATGGCACTGCTTCAAACTGTAGCAAAAAGTTCTCCACACCTCCTACAGCCTAAAAATGAACTAGAGAATGGAGGAGAGAGCGGAGCTAGATGCAGATAGCTTCACCGGTAACACTATAGTGCTACAGTAAAGGAGCTGGAACCCGTCACACCGGCTCCAAACGAGCCTTTAATCTACTACCTAACATAAGTGAAAGACATCCATGTCCACAAACAGAAATGGACAACCACATGGAAACCATTATAAAATGCAAACACTGCTAAAAAACCATATTTATAGGTACCCATTTTTTCCACTAGCGGTCGACAATGGATCATTTTTGTGTGGAAAGCTATATGGGTCCAGAGCCAAGAATCGCTAATGAAAATCGAGTCATCTTTACCGGCGGACAGCTTAAGTAGGCCACATGTGAAAATGCACATATTTCCACTATATCTAAGCTGATCGCCACTGGAATTAGATCTTCACATATGGTAGGCTACATCAACCATCTATGGAAATGGACCAGACTATATCTTTTTCTTCCTGAATTTTCCATCGTAATGCCATGATCTTTTTAATAAATATAATATTGACCGGGCCTACTAAAGAGAGGAAAATTGATCTTTTGATTGTATATGCCATATGGACCGTCAAAGATCACCGTTGTGTAGAGCTC